CTAGAAGAGTCCGCTGCGCATAAAACGTAATAAGTATTTTGGGCGTTGAGTATCGTTAACCACACCCTCGGGCGGTAAATGACACTTTCCGCCATTAATACCTAAATAACTATTAACTATCTACCAAAAGTAGCTTAAGTAGCTTGTTTTAGTAGCTAGCTACTTTTCACAGTAGCTTTATGAATACTTGAAACTTGAAACACATTACCAAAAGCTACTACAGCTACAAGCTGGGTACTTTTTTTTCAAAGTAGCTTGAATAAGTTATTAGCTACCAAAAGAGTAGCTAAGCTAGTAGCTTAACTACTACTTGGTAGCTAGTTACTGCCCAGCTCTGGTAAGTAGGTACTTATTTGGTACCTATATCTAGTTTAAAGTATTTTCTTGGAAATAATGCACTGTATACTGGAAATAATATGCACCTAAATATTACTATTTGCAACTATTTGTACTGATTTTTTTCTACTTTACTTGAAAAATGCGTTTGGAAAATATTGTACTTAATACTATAAAGTGGTATAACAATAAAAGTAGGTAATTCAAGAATAATTATTTACATTACAAGTACGTTTATGAACATGATTATCATATCGAGTGTGAAAGATTAGAACGACGAGGTCGTAGACCGAGTCGTTCTAATCACTCGAGTTTTGTAACATGTTTAAACACACGTGTGATGTACCTACAACGTTTTATCTAAAAAGCGAAAAATAATTCAATCATTTTCGGTTATTAGTCGTTGTACATTTTACCTTTACAGATTTTAACCTTGACATTTTGTCAAATCGACAAAAATAGTTGTGTTATGGATTCATAATCTAGTCCATAACACCACCTGTGTTATGAATTCATAACCTAGTTCATAACACTACTGTTCTGTTATGAGTGTCATGACATAACTCAAATACTAGAAAAATAGTTATGTAAAAACGTCATAACCAAACGCTTGTAGAGTAAAATACCTACTTAAAGTACTAGGTACCTACTTACCCAGTAAACATAGCTATATAAAGTTGAAGTAGAAATTTACGTAGGTAACTACTTTACCTTATAATTAACATATTAAATATATATATATTTTTTTCAAGTCTTAAGGTAAAATTTAACTTAAAATGTAAGGCATGAATAATGTCATGCTCAAATGTAAAATTTATATTTTATCATTTTTGGCACTGAAAATTGTTGATTATTCGACATTGCCTCACAAAATCGCCCATAACTTTGTTAATATTCCACAAATTCCAATACAAAATTATATTTTTATAATAAGAATTAAATGCTCTTTGAGATGAAACAAGATTTAGATGTATAGCTCAAATAGTTTTTGAGATATTGAGGCTAAAAGTTGAAACTTTGTATCAAATTTTGAAAAAGCTTGAAAACCGTTTTTCTCGAATATGAGTCTCAAATAACCTTTTTTGTAGCCCTAATCGAGAGGTACAAGTTTGGAGTGTTTCTGATTTCCACAAATACCACTTATTGCATACGCCTTAGAGAGACAGAATTAAGAGGCAACAAAATTTTAAATTTATATCTAATGTACCATCGTCACCAAAAGTAACTGGGACAGCAACATATCAGCTCCTGTACTATTATATGACTTTTGGTGTCAAATATTTGTCAAACTATGAATGAAATGAATGTTGGTAGAAATAGTCCAGGAGATTATTATGAATTATTTTTGTCCCAAATATTTTGGTGACGATGGTACATACACTATTCAGTTATGTAAATGCTGTATTTGATATTTTAGGTAAACATTACATACCTATAAACAAACAGTTATAAACTTTTATATGTTCAATTCTGGGTTCACTCGTAAAACTTCTACAAATTCGTAAATCCATAGTTTACGATGAGATCAGTGGTTTATACTTTATAGAATCGTAAAAATAACAATTCTAAGATTTCTGTGAACGTCTAATTTACAGTGTCGCAATTGACCGTAAGACGCATCGAGTAGATCGGAAATATTTACGATTCTATAAGATTTTCTCTAAGCTACAGAAAGCGTAAGATATCTATAATGCTTAAAGAAAGCTATAGATTAGCTTACAGATGGGTGTCAGGTAGTTACCAGTAATATGTGGTATGACAGAGCAGGGGTGACAGATATGTACAGGGTGTATCAGGTATGAGTACAAATATTTTAACATGAGATAATATGGCCCATTTCAAGCTAAAACTGTCTTATTAACCATTGGTCAATTGTTAGTATTTTCGGAATTATCGCAGAATTTAAATTTAGAAAAATGTTAACAACGTGACAACATTGTACAGGTATTATCTCTGTTAGAATATAAACGTAAATAAAACTAGTAAATTTAAAGTTTTTTTTTTTGCACGGAGTTTATTTTATTTCCATCTCTGTTTACATTTTGGTTTGTTATTGGCTTTCAAATAATGTAAATAATAACTTTTTTTTATTTTTTTTATCACTTTTCTAGAAAATAAAAAATGTGCCGTTTTATTAAGTTGTAAATTGCACTCAATCACATTTTTGCACTAAACATTCAAGAGAAAAATCAAATAATACTTACTCAGCTACTTGCCAAATTCTTATTATGAAAATATTAATTTTTGTTAAAAGATTCTCAAAACACTAAAATCTACACGCAGATTTTGCACACTCACACTTCCTGACTCCCTGTATCACGCAATCTTTGTAAAACGGGCACAATATACCTATGTTCTTTGATCAGGTGGGTGCGTTTCTTTTGGAACATTTTTCCCTAGTTTCTCTGTAAATTCTGGCGGCTAAATGAGCATTTTGCAACAATTCTGCCTAAATAAAGTATCTGCATATATTCGACGTTTGTGAACATTTTATTTTCAAAAAATAATGAATTTACTTCCCAACTAGACAAGACAAATCAAGAATCAATTTATTCAGTTCAACCTTCAACCACCTTTTCTTTATTGTGCTATGTTGCCAGATATTTGGATACCAATTTACGAGTGAAATGTTTTGTTGTTTTTTCGATTTTTTGTTATTGTTGTTGACTAAAAATGCATAATTACTTTTGAATTTAGAACTCAAGCAGGTTTTGAATAAGTATTAACATGACATGAGAAATCATGCTAAACCCCAATTTTTTCAATAAAGGGGAAGTAGTACTACAATGTTAAAGATAATGTTCATGATATGACTCTGAAGCAAATATAATCAAGGAGGGTAATGCACCACGTTCTTATCAGGTTCAACTACCTATATTATAGGCAATGTTGTGACGAGAAATATATATAACATTTATAAAGCGTCGCCTAGAAAGAAGTTTGAGGTGGTTGGATCTGGTTTAGATTCGCAAAGGACATATGAGAAAGAGCAGAACTTCAACTTGACAGCCAATAATACTGGTCAATCTGAAAGAAATTATAAATCAGAATCTTGACCGCTCAAGTTTAGGTTTTGACCAAACTAGAGTTCTGCCAAAGGCTGGTATTTCTAGGTCTGGTAGAATTATTAAAAAACCAGAGTTTTTTAGAGATTAGGTTTCTTAAGAACATATTGTTTTTAGATGTTTTTGATATTTTTATAATAGTTTATTACTTTTTATTTTTGTCAATATTATCTATAATTTCTAGAGAAAGAAGGATGTCAGGTAGTTACCAGTAATAATATGTGGTATGACAGAAAAAGGGTGACAGATATAGTGACAGAATGAGTTCAGTTTAGCTTGAAATAAATCTTTGAAACTAAAGTGTGTTTTTTTTTTTTAAAGATAAAAGTCAAAATGAAATTATGTTGGCAATACAATGTAACATTGTCAATGTTCCAAATTTTTTATGAAGAAAAGGCTTGTGCTGCCAACATAGTTACTAAATTTTTGACTTGGGGAATTATCTTTAAAAAAAAAACAGACTTTATATTTCGTTTATTCCAAATGTCCGAACCTTACAATGGCACAAAATTAACCTATTAGTTTACATAGTATATTTACATAAACTTGACATGAAACTAATGCTGTTAAAAAAATTATTTTAAATTTATAGAAACTGTACGTAAATGTAACAGATATATGTTTACTGGGTATATGTACCTACTTGGAGTAAAGTTTCAAGTTATTTTATTACTTCAAGTATTGACAACTCTGTTTCAAGTACATATATAGGTACTTAAATGCATATGAAATCGACTCTAAATAATGTATATGTATACCTACTAAAAATAAAATGTAAATACTGCTACTTATACACTCTAAGTAAAATATGTAATCAATACTTTTACGGGTATTCTGAAAATATTATACCTACTTGAAATACTATAAATAAAATATTAGAAATATTTAATACTTTAAGTAGCTACCTACTTACATTTGCTAAGTACTTATAGGTACCTACATTTACTCTGACACTAGAATAAGATTTTCTGAATATTTCAGATTTCTATTTGTACCTATCTCTATATATTATGAAACGATGATTTTACAAAATTATTAGAAATCCAAATCAAAACCAAAAAGTTCCTTCAAAAACGATGGGATTTTTTCTTTATGTATTCAATCAAACTATGTGAGTCATTGTGAGATTTGAATTCAAAATGTTTGTTAAAAGGGCAGCGGAAAATTTGAAAATGATATTATATTTCTAGAACTATAATAACTCCAAATGTTTTCTATTGTGCGTTTATGTTGTTTCTTCCATCTATTTTCAACTCTGACTCGAAAATAATCAATTTTTAAAAGTTCAAAATCGCTTTTCAGGAACTCAATCCATTTACCTCTTCCTTCTATAAAATGATTCTAAACAAACAGTGGCGGGACTATACGAGGTGTCCGCGCCCATTAATTAAATACCCAGTTACAGCACCAGACCCCACTGTTTTTGTTTTCCTTCTCAGATGAAACGGTTTTGACCTCGGCCCATACCAGATTTAGAACGTCGGTCGCGGCAGAGCGTGCAGAGAGAAAATTTGCTTCGCTACGTTTCAGTTACGAAAAGTGCCTCCTTCTCAAAAGGTGTCGATTGATTTTGTGTTTTAAATTTTTGAAAATAAAAATATGAGTAAGGGACGCGATGTGCCTCCACCCTACGGACCTCCACCTGCTGCGCCTCCGAGTTACGCGCAGGCAGTTGGGGGGGTTCCCCCAACGGCACCATACATTCCTACTTATCATTGTGAGTTTTTTGTTTTTTTTTTTCTTTTTCAGTTATGTCATCTTTTTGTTTGGGTTTAAATGGTTAATGAATAAAATAATTATAATAAAAATTTATGAGACAAAAAAGTAAATAGAAAACTTAAACAAATATTTTTATGTTTTTGTAAAATTTGCAATTTTATAGAAAGTGTAATTAGTACCTAAATTGATTATTATTCAGCAAATTGGCAATAATTCTTAGAACAAAATTATGCTAAATGCATGTAATACCCACACAACACCAATAAATTATTATTAAAGTATGCAATTTTGCATTTTAAATTTCGGATTTTTGTTATTGCAAAAAATCGAAAAATGATTTTTCTTTTTTCTTATCCTTGCAAATACATCTGTCACACATTTGCGTAAACTTTGAGGCTCAATATCTCGAAAACTATTTGAGATAAATGATTCGATTTTGCTTGATCTTAAAGAGCGTTTAATTCTGATTCAGAATATATAAATATACATTAGAATTTCTGAAATATTGATTGACTTATTGGCGATTTTGTGAGGCCATGTTGGATGATTAAAAATAACAAAGATGTTTTTCTACTAAATTTCATCCCCTCTTTTGATTGATAAAGTCAAAAATTTGAAAAATCAGAAAAATCAAAATTGCAATTTTTCCAAGGTGTATACAAGGAAATTTCATATTTAAATATTTCAAAGGGCTATATTTTGGAAACCAAGAAAGCTATTTTGACGAATTTTTTTCCAATTGTAGATCTCGATTGGGGCTTAAAAAAAACCTTATTGGGACACTGAGTCCGAGGGCTTCGTTTTCGAGATAATCAGCTTTGAAGATTTTCCAAAATTTGAGACAAAGTTTCAACTTTGAGGCTCAATATCTTGAGAACTATTTGAGATAAATGATTCAATCTTGTTTTATCTTAAAGAGCATTTAATTCTGATTCAGAATATATAAATATACATCAGAATTTCTGAAAAAATGATTGACTTATTGGCGATTTCGGGAAGCAATGTCGCATGATCAAAATTTTTTAGGGCCAAAAATGCAAAAATCATTTTTAATTTTTTACAGACCAGTAAAATATCGCAAAAAAAAAATCACGAAAATGCTTTTCTAACTAATTTGACCCTCTCTATCGATTGGTAAAATCAAAAATTGAAAAATCTAGAAAAATCAAAATTGAAATTTTCCCAAGGGGTATACAAGGAAATTTCATTTTGAAATATTTCAAAGGGCCACATTTTGGAAACCAGAAAAGCTATCGATATGAAATTTTGTTCAATTGTAGATCTCGATTGGGGCTCCAAAAAAGCTTATTTGGGGCACCGAGCCCTAGAGCTTCGTTTTAGAGATAACTGGCTTCAAACGTTATCTAAAGTTTGAGACAAAGTTTCAACTTTGAGGCTCAATATCTTGAAAACTATTTGAGATAAATTGATTCAATTTTGTTCTATCTTAAAGAGTATTTAATTCTAACTAAGAATATATAAATAGGCATCAGAATTTGTAGAATATTAATTGAATTATGTGCGATTTTGTGAGTAAATGTCGGATAATCAAAATTTTTCAGGCCCAAAAATGCAATTTTTTTTTACATAATATGGAATACATTAATGTGACATCAATTTTACATCTACTTAAGCATAATCTTATGCGTTACATTCAAGTTAAATGCTTGAACTTTGCAAGCCTTTATTTGAGGAAATAAATCCTATATAATTGGGAAAAAATTGGATTTTAATAGGCTACTTCCTTGAAAAGAAATATTTTGATATTTTAAATGTAGTAGGTATGGAGTTGCCAGATATAACAAATATTAACAAACAAACTAAAAATTACTGTAAATTATTTTCTTTATTTTCAATACTAATAATGAATCAATAATTTGAATATCTGTAGGCTCCAAAGTACCAAATCTACATGTAAAAGGTCAATATCTGAACCTATTTTTAAAAATTAAGTTTACTAGCGCAAATAATTGAAACATAACATGTGTTTTGAAATGTTTATCGGGTATTTTGGCTTAAGACTTGTTTACCCAATTTTAATTTATTTTGAATGACCATGACTTTGTAAAAAAAAAAATCATCTGAATAAAAAAAAAAATAGACCCAGAACTGCCTTAACGTATTGTGAAAACCCATTGGGTAAAATTTAATTGTAAATTAAGTGTTATAGGTATAGGATTGATTATACCTACACACCTATCATATAAGATTGACCAAAAAACAAATAATAATTGGGTATTAATGATAATGAAAATGACAAAACAAATTTTTGTTTTAACTGATGACGATTTTGCATATTTTTTTTAAAATTTTCTATTCTGATCCTTTGAGAAAGTTTTTGTTCAATATCGTCTTCATCTATTTTTCTAGTGTTTTGCCAAATTAATATTACAAAAATTCCCTGAATGATAACAGAAAATTCTAGAAAAATATCATAATGTGAGAAGCTGTTTTTTCCTTTCTATCGCCGATACAGAAATCGCTATATATAGGGTCTTATTTACTATGATTGCATTATAAATTACTGCACTTTTTTCATAAATACCTATTCCAAAGCAATCAAAGTATCACACCATATTACCCAGAATTAATTAGATTAATGTTTACAATTAACCTACATGACGTAATAAATTTAATACAGCAATAATAAGTTTCCCCAGAATGAATTATTTTTTATACTTACTATTGATCTAATTTCGACGATTAAAAAACTCGTTTTTCCCCAAAAATTTTTAATCATTACAAAAGTCGTTAACCTTCGATTTCAAACAAAAAAAAAAGCCACATTTTTTTTCGATTCTTCACTAAAAATGTAGGCGTACTAATGACGTCTTTAAATGTGCGTCATAGGGTTTTAAAAAAAAACCTAATAGTTGATCATTGATAAAATGAATGGTAGGTAGGTACCTACTTTCGCTTTATGGTCGAGTGAAAGTAGGAACCATGCAATGAAAGGGTCATACTTATAATACATTTGGTTTCTAATTCGATTCCATTTCCTCATTGATAACTGCATGCCATATCGATTTTATTTACTTATTTTCAAATACAATAATTTCTTATTGTAAAGTCCAACTTTTTATATTCTAAGTAAGTTTATAGAAAAAAACCAACTCAAACCAACCAGATGGCCGAATTTTATTTGATCTCGATGTTGACAGAAGCCTTTTACACTTTCGAAGCAATTTACTGAAAACTTACACACATCTGTGGATTATATAAACATAAAAGGACCGGAAATGAACTTCTGAATTTATTAATGGCAACATAAATCACCCTCGAAAAGAATCTAATCCGAGACCTTTTTCGCTAAAAGTTGCCCTATTGTGCAGCAAATTTAGGTCAAAGACATTATCGGAAAAGAGCCCCACCTTTAAAGCCTGATTTTTGTCTTATTTCAACATGCAACTTTTGATTTTGAAGTGAAAAAGTTAAGTTCGTCTCATGCAAGTTGATATGTAACTGTTTCACTTCAGTATGTACCTATGTTGTATGATTTACACGTTGTATTTTTGTTTTAGTACGTAAAGATCCAGAAATCCTCACAACAATAGTTCCGGTGGTAGGACCTAATCCCACCCACATGGTATGTCCGCATTGCGGGGCCGAAATTGATACCACTACCAAATGCAAACCTGGATTGAAGGCCTACCTTTCCAGTGCGTTGTTGTGTTTATTGGGGTAAGAACATTTCAGTTTGTTTCAAGCAATTATTAAATTTTGAATATATTGACGTAGGTACTTTACTATTGACGAACGTTACATTACAATATATTGTTTCAATGATTAATTAGCTACACCTATATGTGATGATATTAGTGGCTGGTCATCGTGATTAATAATTATAGGTATTTACCAGCAATTTGGCTAATACGTACTCACTTTGTAGTCGATTTTGATTTCAAGCAGGAGCGGATACAGGTCTTTTGAAAGGGGGGAGCATTTTAAGTTGAAGTAAGCTAGATTGGGTTAGTTTCGGTTAGTTTTGGCAGCGCATTAGAATATAGAACCAAATATAGAGCATCCCATTTGAAAAAAGCTGAAAGCATGCAATATTTCACATTTCTGTCATTCAATTTTTGTTTCTGACCATGGATTCTAAAAATTTAGCCAATACTGTACAACTTTTGTATTCAGACCTTTCATCTACTTGTAAAGGTAAAGGCTGTTAGGTGGGGTGTCAATATATAAAAAAACACCCTGATATATACTTGAACAGTAACTTATTTTATAAAGTCAGAATTTGTAAGATTATCCACTTTTTGTCAATTTGTTTTTCAACAGGAATTAGTAATGTTACTTTACCAAACTGGTAACATAATGTGACAAGTTATTCAAGTACAAACTTACGGGTGGACCTCTGCGGGACGAGCGCAGCGAGTTCCGCAGCCATCTATTCATCAATATGTTGTTCAATTACGATACTAAACTGAACTCACTCAAATGTGCGTTATTCTCATTACTTTAAAATTACACATTTCAGGTGAATGTCTTACTTGAACAATTCAATAATATATTGGTAATTAGATGGCTGCGGAACTCGCTGCGCTCGTCCCGCAGAGATCCACCCGCATAAGTTCCGCAACAATCCACTTATTTGTACTTGAACAATAACTTTAATATAAAGTCAGAATTTCTAAGATTATCCACTTTTTGTCGATTGGCCTTTTAACAGGAATTAGTAATGTTACTTTACCAAACTAGTAATATATTGTGACAAGTTATTCAAGTACAAACGAGTGAATTGTTGCGGAACTTATGGGTGGACCCAGCCATCTATTCACCAATATGTTGTTCAAGTACAATACTAACCTGATTCACTCAGTTGAGAATTTTTGTCATTAGTTCAAAAACTACACGTTTCAGGTGAGTGTCTTATCTGAACAGTTCAACAATATATTGGTGAGTAGATGGCTGCGGAACTCGCTGCGCTCGTCCCGCAGAGGTCTACCCATAAGTTCCGCAATAATTCACTTATTTGTACAGGGTGCTTTTTTATATATTGACACCCCACCTACAGCCTTTACCTTCATAGGTAGAAGATAGGTGTAAATACAAAAATTGTAGTTTTGGCTGAATTTTTAGAAACTATGGTCAGAAACAAATGAAATTTTGTCAGAAATGTGAAATTTTGCATGCTTCCAGCTTTTTTCAAATGGAATGCCCTATATTCCATTCTATATTCTTGAAGAGCACAATGCCCCGATCTATATTTGATTGAGCAATCTGTCATATATTTATACTATCCTACTACTGATTTTGTGAACCATTCTACCTGTACAGGTGAAAGCTACAGGTAAAAGAACATCTCACACTTCTTATGGATTTCAGTCACCGACAGATTTTGTTGAAAGTTTAGTATACTATTTTGGAAGTCGAAATAAGCATTTTCTTTCATTGTACCGACCTCGCAGCGATACAGGGTGATACTAAAAAATTAGGTCAAAGATTTTCAATTTTTATTACTGTGAAATATTGTAATTTAACTTAGGTCCCTAAAGTGTTAAATTTTATTTGGAAAAATATGTTGTTTGTTAGTGCTTCGTTAGTGCTTTTTAGTGCTTCAATTGTTTTCGTTAGTGCTTTTTTCGTTTTCTGTAGGTATATCGATTTTTTTGTAGTTTCAAGGTCAGCCCTGACAATCTGTCAAAATGAACGAAACTTGTTACTATGTTTTAGTGCTTCGTTAGTGCTTCTTAGTGCTTCAAATAGTTTCGAAAGTGCTTTCCTTATTTCTTAGATATTTTAGATTTTCACTTCAAGGTCAGCCCCCAAAAATTTTCCGAATTACCCAATTTTGGTGTCAGTTTTTAGTGCTTCGTTAGTGCTTCTCAGTGCTTCAAACAGTTGCATTCGAGAATATTTCCTTTTTGAGATATTTAACTTTAAATTTTCAAGGTCAGCCCTCAAATTATATGGGATTGAGTTAAATCTAGAGTCGTTTTTTTGCGCATCGTTAGTGCTTTTTAGTGCTTTATATAGCTTTCTTAATGCTCTTTCCGTATTCTGATTATTTAGTATTTTTTATTTTAAAATTAGCACCCAAATGTACAAAAAACACAGGAATGCCACTGAAGCCAACATCGGTTCATAGCAAGGATGATACACCAAATCACCAGTTGTGACGTAGGCATGTCCTTTCTCGGATGGACGTAGGCCTTTTGCACTACAGGTTATGATTCCGCGGGCTTTGGCTTCATGCATACTTGGTTTTATTCACGGTTTTACTACATTAATAATTAACATTCTAAAACAACCCTTTATTTAGATCTCGTTTTCATCTTCCTCTTTGCCTATTATATTGATCAATATTAAACAATATTTTTTTATCATAAATTTGAATTATTCTAAGCTACGACCTCCAGTGCGTGAGTTTTCAGCGTAAATTGCCATAAGTAGCTCCATTTCTCTTTCGGAGCTCCCCTACTTATGTTGTCTGCAGTCAAAAGCTGTGCCAGAATATAACCCAGGGCTGGGATCACGACAAGTAGAATTCTACTTTCATGACGTCAGGTTGCCTAGCAACTATCATCATCGCCTGAACTGTACGCGATAAATAGGTCGCGAATGACGTCATGAAAGTAGAATTCTACTCGTCGTGATCCCAGCCGAGTCGTATTATATGTCGAATATGACACAGGTATCAAATTTACTGATACTGACTTACTGATAGTTAAAAATATGCCATTTTCCAACTTGTAAAGTGCGGTTCCTCGTTGGGCGCTATTTAATGACAGAGCCATTCTGTTTAAAACAAAGGCGAGTTACCCCGGAGTGAGATGCTCCGGTGCTAAAAAAGCGCCAGTCAAAACTGCGTCTGAACGAACGAAATAGCGCCAGCTAAAACAGTGTCCAATTAAAATAGACCTTTCCAAAACAACTAAATAACCATAAAAGAGAGAGATAGAGAGCGCACCGGCACCTTAGATTTCCTCCATACTATAAACCAATGTTGGCTCCAGTGGCGTCCGAGGTGGCGTCCCTGTGTTTTTTGTACATTTTGAAACAAGTTTGGGTGGTAATTTTAAAATAAAATCAGAATACGGAGAGAGCATTAAGAAAACTATCTGAAGCACTGAAAAGCACTAACGATTCGCAAAAAAACGACTCTAGATTTAACTCAATCCCATATAATTTGAGGGCTGACCTTGAAAATTTAAAGTTAAATATCTCAAAAAGGAATTATTCTCGAATGCAACTGTTTGAAGCACTGAGAAGCACTAACGAAGCACTAAAAACTGACACCAAAATTGGGTAATTCGGAAAATTTTTGGGGGCTGACCTTGAAGTGAAAATCTAAAATATCTAAGAAATAAGAAAAGCACTTTCGAAACTATTTGAAGCACTAAGAAGCACTAAAACATAGTAACAAGTTTCGTTCATTTTGACAGATTGTCAGGGCTGACCTTGAAACTACAAAAAAAATCTATATACAGAAAACGAAAAAAGCACTAACGAAAACAATTGAAGCACTAACGAAGCACTAACAAACAATATATTTTTCCAAAAAAAAAATTAACACTTTAGGGGCCAACTTCACGGACCTATTTAACTTTTGGTAGATAAAATCAGGCAATTTTTTTCATATTCCATAAAATGGATATTATTTTAATTTTTAGCATGTACAGGGTGTCCTATTTTAGTTGTACAAGGTTTGTTCTTTATAATTAGTGCGGCTTCTACAACTTGACAAAAAAAAAAGAAAAAAAAATTAAATACAAAAGTTGTAGGGTTTTATCTCTATTGTCTTTCGCACATGTCAAAGTGGGCAAATGACAGGTGCCAACTGTCATAATGACAAACACTTGCATTTTTTAAATGGAACAACTTGTTTCGAAATTGTATTAAGCAACCCTCACCCTCAGGTTAATGTAAATGCATTTTTAAACTTAAAAAGCTTAAAAACAGCTGAACCAAATATTAACATATATATGGTATATTTGGAATCGGAGGAAAAAAATCTATCATTCTACTTAAAAATATACAGGGTGTTCCATTTAAAAAATGCAAGTGTTTGTCATTATGTCATTATGACATTAGCAAAAGATATAATAATAGAGATAAAACCCTACAACTTTTGTGTTTAACTTCTTTTTCTATTTTTTATTTTTTTTTTGTTTAAGTTGTAGAAGCTGCACTTATTATAAGAAACAGACCCTGTACAGGGTGAGTCACCATATTTTGACACCCACATGCAGCCGGAATTAGAGTTGATAGGTAAAAGGTGTAAATACAAAAGTTGTAGCATTTTATCTGAACCGCCAGAATTTTTAATTAGACTGAAGAAATGAGCAACACAAACTGAAAAAATATGTCGATATTCACTTTTTTCAAATGGAATATCTTTTATTTTCTTTCAAATTCTTAAAGTTCTCTTTTTTCTGATTCAGAATATATACATATTATATGTCAATGTTTCTTTCAATAGTTTTGGAAAAATCTGGAGTTTAGTTATTCAAGTTTAGAGTTTTTTGAACATATTTTACCTTGATTTACCTGTCACTTGTCACAAAACATTTTGATACCTGAATACGTCTTTGAATAACTAAACTCCAGATATTATTCCAAAACTATTGAAAGAAACATTAACATAGGTATTATGTATAATCTGAACCAGAAAAACGAAAACTTTAAGAATTTGAAAGAAAATAAAGTGCATTCCATTTGAAAAAAGTGAACAT